TTAGAACTTTCCATGAGAAATTATGTTTTATAATAGAGTCCATTTACTCCCCTAAACTTGCCCTAGAGTTTTGAATTTTGAAAACCATAGGAAAACATTCCTCTCCCTAGAAAATTGCTACCACTTCTACACAAACTTTACTGGAGGCGGGCGTTTTCGGTTTTCCGCGGCGGGCAAAGCCGTCCGCCGCGGCCTAGAGGCCACAGTAGATCGTGGCTTAACCGCGGCGGGCGGCCTTGCCCGCCGCGGTTAATCGATTTACCACGGCGGGCGGTGTAACGTGTCCGCCGCGGTAAATATACTTTTACCACGGCGGGCACGTTAGGATGCCCGCTGCGGTTAATCATTTTAAAAAAACAAAAAAAAACCAGGAGCCTGCCGGCGAGCCCGTTCTCGAGCCCACTGGCGAGCCCACCGGCGATGGATCCGGGCTTCCCATGGCCGCAGATCCGTGCCGCTCGGGGAGGGAGAAGAGGAGCAGCCGGCCGGGCCCCAGCGTCTCTGGAGAAGCCGGCTGGACACGCCGACGCCACTGCAGGGCCACCACCACCTCGCCAGTCGCTCGCAGGGGACCACGCCGACGCCTCCTCGCGGATCCCGCAGCGCCGTGGTGGAGGGAGGCCGCCGCGCCGACGCGTCCTCACCCGCCGTGGTGGAGGTCCCAGCGTCGTGGCCGTGGTGGATCCCGGCGTCGTGGCCGTGGTGGAGATCCACCGTCGGATCCGGTCGCTCCACCGCCAGATCCACGGAGGAGGAGGGTGCAGCCGCCAGATCCGTGGGGGAGGAGGTCGCCGCCGCCGGATCCGTGGAGGAAGAGGTCGCCGTCGCCGGATCTGGAGAGAGGAAGAGGGAGATGGAGAGGAAGAGGGAGATGAACTAACTGGATTTGAAACCCTAGCCCCGCGCCGTAGTCGTTCATGGAGGATCCATGGGGGAGGAGGAGGGCGCAGCCGTCACCGTCGTCCCGCGCGCCCTCGATCCACCGTCTGGAGGCCTCGCGCGCCCTTGGAGGAGGCCACTGCCTGCATCGAGGGAGAGTAGAGGGAGGCAGAGGGAGAGTGGGGGAGGCGGAGAGCTGAGAGAGAGAGTGGGGGAGGCAGGGAGCTGACAGAGAGAGAGTGGGGGAGCTGACAGAGAGAGAGAGTGGGTGATGTGTTTCAGTGAAACCCTAACTCCCTCCTTTTATATTGGAGATGGCTATTAGGCCTCGGTTTGGGTCAGTTGGGCCTCCACATTTTAGGTGGCGGGCATTTTAGGACGTCCGCCACGGTAAATTGATTTACCGTGGCGGGCAAAAATGCCCGCCGTGGTAAATAAAAAATGCCCGCCTAGGTAAACCGTGGCATTTACCGTGACGGGGAAAAATAGGTGCCCGCCTCGGTGGCCTCAGGGGGGTGTCGCGCAAAATCATTTGTGTAGTAGTGTACATTTGTTGGGTAGAATTATTGGTGGCTACTCCGTTGGCATCTACGTGGCATATATCCCTAGTAAAACATCAAACCCATAGGGAATCGTCGCGTGTACCAACCAACCCTAGCGCGCCAGCCTCATCTCTTTCTACTGTCGTCGTCACCCCCCAAAATCTTCTGTTGCCCTCATCTCACGATGTGCGCCACCGCAGGCCCCTTCCAAGTGATGTCCATTGGCGCAGGCCCCTTCCAAGTGATGTCCATTGGCAACAGCCTGATGCACGTGACACACACTACTGCTAGCCTCATGGGGAAGAAGAATCATGGAAGCTCTAATGGTAGCAATAACAGAGGATCTAAAGGAGGCGAGATAGGACAAGGGCAATGGCGTGTTCAATTCATCGATGCCTTCGTCCCTTCCATCCACACCTCTTTTCTATTGGCTTCCTGGGTCGCATATATAGGCCAATAGCTAGATCGCTTAGCCTACTTCTTTAAACATTGAGCGCCCAACTGGTTCATACATTTTTTTCGAAAAGGGAAACTTTATTATCTTAGATAGTTACATCAGGACGACACAAATTATACTAAGATGATCTCGGCCTCTGCATAACTGTGATGCACATGGCCTATAAAAAAGGAAAAAGAAATAAAGAAGAAAAATGGCATGAAATCATATCACGGCAAGCTACAACACACAACTCAATCTTTAGATTCTTACACCATCATATCAGCATCTCGACGACGAGAAAGACTCTAAAAACAATGCCTCCAACAAGGAAGTAGCACGCGCATGCACCATCATTGCCATGGTCCAACCAATCAAGGCCAGACCATTGGTTTTCACCTTAGAGAATAATTTCTCATACCCCAAACAAGGCCTTCAACAAGGCCATTGCCAAGTACATCCAGTTAAGGTTAGACCTAGGGATTTCTCCCCAGAGCCAAGAAAATAGTACCAAAATCGGTACCACCAAAACAAGGGTTCCGGTGCTATCTCCCCCTTCTTTTTGAGTCAATACTACAGTATCACCCAATCTTGGTCGACTACTACCGGCCGTGAACTCTCATCGTCCAACGATGACTTTATGGTGAAGTGACCAATATGGGCACATGCACAAAGTCCATAGGATCAAAACCGAAGCAAGCGATGTCGTGTGAGTCAAAGCCAAGATACCTATGGTCTCTAGGATTATATGGAAAGTACCGACACATTATGAAGAAATCATCACAAGAAGTAGTTGCACAAGTACCACCAAATGTTGAGTGTTGCCCTACCCACCATCGATTGGATCTGACAACAAGAGCGACCGACCTGCCCAGCAGCACCGAGAAGGCACGACTGAAGGAACACCGGCGACGTCTCTCGATGATGACCCGAGCAAGGGAGGGGCGGAAGCAATGCCAGCGTTCGTAGGCGACCACCCCAACTGTAGGGGGGAGCAACCACCCGGGACCGAGAAGAGCGCAGATCTGGACTGGTATGATCCCGCTAGGGTTTGTTCCCGATCTTTCGATGAGAGGTGTGGGATAACTCGATTGATGGGTGGAGACGACGTTCACGGCATGACTACAGCCTTCCAAGCTGCGCCTTAGCAACCGATACACCACCTCCAACAGCTGCCGCGATCTTGTGGAGCGTGTCACCGGCCACTAGGGCACTCGTCCTGCAAGCAATGGAAGAACTAGCAAGAACAAGTATAGCAAGTACTGAATTACTAGATGTAGATGAAAGTTTCAAACTCAATCTCAATTAAGGTGGGGTTCTGAAGACAAGAAGACGGGCGGCTGATCCAGCACGCGCGCTTACAAGAAAGTAGGGAGAGCTAAACTTGATCTAAACAAAACCCGATCTGTTTATGGCGGCTCTAATCCTTATTAATACCTAGGAGGACGACCAGGGGGGTGTTGGGGTCGTGCTCCAACCCTATGACGTGTCCCTAATGGACCCAACTAGATACACGGGCCATCGGCCCAAAATAGGGTGACACAGCACCAAAAGGCAGAAAAGGTCCCGGCGTTAAAATGATGACTGCGGAAGCATATGACAAGATATAGCTATGATTCCAGATCCGTTAGAAAATAGACTTGATAATCTTTCAAAAAAGTGCTAGAACATCCCAATCGGAATCTGTATGAAGTCATGGCAACCGTCACAATTTGGGACTATTTGGCAGTCCGAATTCAACTTCCAAAACGTGTTGGACTTGGACTCTTTCTTTCCTTGGGACCAAAGTGACGTGGTGGCCTAGTGGAGGACGTTAGGAATACATGGATTTGGTCCCCAATCAACTTCATTAACCTTCCATGCTTTCCATATGCAATCAAACCTTCCCTTGATCCATGTAAGTAATTCTGAAAATGAAAATATACACATTTTATGGTGGAGCACCAATTCATCAAATGCATCAATGATAAGCCTCATATAGAATGGTTGCACCTTTGGTATAGAAGTGGTTGGCATGGTCATATTGGAGCCAATGATGTCCTCATCACGGACCAGAGGAGGGTGGATTTGAGCCCGAGCATAGAAGATCAGATGACCATGGATGATTGGCGGCGGCACCAGAGTACCCAAGCAGTGACTTGGTTGTGTATCAAGGGGCAAGGGGGAAGTAAGACGAGAGGAGAGGAGAGGGAGGAAGAGTGGGGAATGGCGGATCAGGGAGGCAGGTCGTCGCCGCCACACACTGGCCGGCGGCGGTCATCGGAGCTAGTGCCTGTGGTGGGCTTTGGTTGGGAGAGAGCGCTGGTAGGGTCAACCCAAACATATTTTTTGGTACATCTTGCCCCTTTAGACATTTAATACTTGTACCCAAACATATTTTAAGATCCCATTTATATGTATTACTAGATCATGGGTTAAAACAAGCCTCGACGTCTCAAGGTAGCATGATGATGGTAGGAGTAATTAGTAATCAATGTCCAGCTAAACGTTAAACACTAACCAATTGATCACATTTTTTTGAGCAAAACCAATTGATCACATATCATTTAGTACTAATTATTGGGCCAAATAACCAATTAAGTGGGCTAAAACCAACATTTAAATGAGATAAATTACAGATCAAATGAAAATAGCCCATCACGATGCAGTATTTACATTTACATTGTGTAACAGGTTAAACGGTGAGTGGTTTGTCACTTGCCAGGGCAACAATGTGCGACCTGCCGACCTACATATGCAGGAGCCACATGCTTTTGCAGAGTCCGGTAATTGTGCTCAAACGCTTTTCAGGCATCCACCTGTCAATTGATGATTAACACTTGAAATATTGTCAACACCAAGTTCTTCGCGTTTCTTACACTTGTCAAAAAGAAACAGCACGACCTAACCCAAAACAAAACAAAGCAAATTACACTGCCCAAAAAGGTGTGGAAAATGGCCGCGTCCAAGCAAAACTAAGGAGCAAACGACACGTCGTGACACAGGCATGCAGCACCACTGGGGCCCTAAATAAAGCAGCCAATCCACACCTCCCACCGCACACGCTCTCACTTGCCCCCCGAACAGAGCACGCACGTACGGACGGGCACTGCACGCGGGCGTCGCGTCGCGGTCCGCCGGAAACAATCCCCGGGCCGGCAATAATGAGGCCCCCCGGCCGCCGCGGCCTGCTCTCCGCCGGCGCCTGCGCGCTGCTGCTGGCGGCGTTCCTCCTGGTGGGCAGCCTGGTGGTGACGACGCCCCTGGCGCCCTACCTGCTGCCGCCGCTGGGGCTCTCGCTGCCGTGCCTGCCCGCGGTCACCAAGCCGTCGGGGTCCGGGTACGGCGCGGCGCCGGGCGTCGCGGCGCTGGCGGAGGCCGCCGTGGCGTACGCCACCTCGGTGACCGTGCCGCAGCAGTCGCCCAAGGAGATCTTGCTGTCGCTGGCCGTGCTCCGGCGCCGCGCGCCGCTGCGGCTGCTGGTGTTCGGCCTGGGACACGACTCCAGGCTGTGGCACGCGCTCAACCCCGGCGGCGTCACCGTGTTCCTGGAGGAGGACCCCGCGTGGTACCGCGTGGTGCGGGTGCAGTCGCCGTTCCTCCGCGCGCACCTCGTGGCCTACCGCACGCGGCTCGACCAGGCGGACCGCCTCATGGCCGCGTACAAGAGGCAACCGGCCTGCCTCCCGGACAGCAACAGTAGCAACGCCACCGGCCTGCTGCGCGTGCGCGGCAACTGGGCGTGCCCGTTGGCGCTGCACAATCTGCCGCCCGAGGTGTACAAGACGGAGTGGGACATGTTGATGATCGACGCGCCCAAGGGCTACTTCGCGGCGGCGCCCGGGAGGATGGCCGCGATATGGACCGCAGCGGCTCTGGCGCGCGCGCGCCGCGGCGAGGGGGACACCGACGTCTTCCTGCACGATGTCAACCGGAGGGTGGAGAGGATGTTCGCCGAGGAGTTCCTCTGCGACAGGTTCCGGGTCGGCGGCACCGGCCGGCTCTGGCATTTCAGCATCCCGCCGGTTTCACGGCGCGGGAATGCCACGGCGACCGCCGGTGACCGGAGACCGTTTTGTTAATTAAAGCGGTGAGGCTTTCTTGTTTCTTCTTTGCAAATGGCCGGCCCCTGTTTGCATGGGGCGTACCAAACACATGTACTTTGTATTACTCCGTAGCTCCTTTCTTTCGGAGGTATGTAAGGCCTTCTTTAAATCGAGTGGGGACAAGATTTAAAAAATTCGTCTCGTAAATTAGTTGTAATCTGTGTAATTAATTATTTTTTTAGTCTATATTTAATACTCTATGCATATATTAAACATCCGATGACTAAATTTTAGGGAAGGAACTAAACCAGGCCTAAAGCAGTGAGTTTATGGTTTTCCAAGAGAAATATTTTCATCGATCCAACAATGTAATGTCACTTCAGCCATAGTAGGACTATCTGAATGGGTTATGCAATAATTATAATGGACAGCGGTTAACATGGTCCACTCCATTTTTGGTGTATGCAAGGACATGGGGTGAAACGTCGAATCTCCGTAGGTCATAGATTCGACTTCTTGGGGAAGTGAATTTTCCAAGATTTAACGGCGCTGTGCTTTCAGTGCTACGCGATGTTTCCGTTGATAGCGAGACGTATGTAATGACTTCGTCAACCTCGAGGATTTGCCGACCCAGTCTTCGAAGATGCTTATAGGTCGTCTCCTAATCTTCACCATGCCCTAGTCACGGTTCTCCTTTGATTTCACCGCCACTTGGATCCGCCAACTCTTCAGTGGTACTACCTACGACGATATCATTCGTGCCCCCACTGTTGGCCAAGCTCCACCACCACGACCTAGTCCGCTGCGGCCTTCTAATCCGTCCCCGATCCCATTAACTCCTCTCACCCCCTCTCTTCCACGTCTCCCCTCATTCCTGTCATTTTCTCTGTGTCACTGCCCCTGTGTGGATGATATTATTGCATATGTGATTAATATGGAATTAAATTGTAAATCTGTGATATGGAATTCAATTTAATTGTGATATCAGAATTATGTGGTATTAAATTGTGATATTTGCAATTAACATGGAAATAAATCAATTAGTTTGTAAATTATTACTGTTTCCAAGTGAAATATTTCATCAGAAACTAGAAGTATTGAACTTATGTACATTAGGTCCAACAATGTCATGTCCACTTCAGCCATAGTAGCACTATCTATATGGCTTATGCAATAATTATAATGAACAGCGGGAAACATGGGCCATACTACCTCGGGTTGCATGCAAGTTAAAGTTTTTCATATTTAACTAAGTTTCTAGTAAACAGTATTTATATTTATGACCATAAATTAATTTATTATGAAAATATATTTCGTAATTAATTCAATATTATTTATTTAATATTATAATTATTTATATTTTTTTAATCTATAATTGATCAAATTGAATATATTAAAATATGACAATGTTTTAGAATTATATTATTTTAGAGACGGAAGGAGTACCATTTTTGGTGTATGCAAGGACATGGAGCCATTTGTCTGTGTACCATTAAAAAAGATGGCCTTTTTCTACAGACCACTAAAAAGTTTGGCCTTACCTAGGTGTCATGACACTTTATTTCTTTGTCCCCCAAGCCATTCCGTCCATTTTCGTTGGTAACGGTGTGTAACGGCGAGAAGAAAAGACCGAAGTGCCCTCAGTCAGAAAGGATGAGTGAAATTGCCGTTTGCCCTGTGTGCCACTCCCTGACCAAGCGTTTGAGCGCCGAGACGGCAACCTAAACCGGCAGCAACCTCTTCTGGGTGCCGTGCGACTACAAGCAATGCGCGTCCATCGCCAACGTCACCGGGCAGGCCGCGACGCGGCTTCGCCCCTACAGCCCGCGGGGGTCGTCGACGAGCAAGCAGGTGACGTGCGACAACGCGCTGTGCGACCGTCCCAACGCCTGCTCCGCCGCGACCAACGGCAGCTGCCCGTACGAGGTCTAGTACGTGTCCGCCAACACCTCCACCTCCGGGGTGCTGGTGCAGGACGTGCTCCACCTCACCCGGGAGCGCCCGGGCGCCGCCGCCGCCGCCGGGGAGGCCCTGCAGGCGCCCGTCGTGTTCGGGTGCGGGCAGGTGCAGACGGGCTATTTCCTGGATGGCGGCGCCTTCGACGGCCTGATGGGGCTCGGTAGGGACAAGGTGTCCGTGCCCAGCGTGCTCGCCGCTAGCGGCCTCGTTGAGTCCGACAGCTTCTCCATGTGCTTCGGCGACGACGGCGCCGGCCGCATCAACTTCGGCGACGCCGGCAGCCGTGGCCAGGGCGAGACGCCCTTCACCGACCGGAGCACACTGTACAACGTGAGCTTCACGTCCATCAACGTCGAGACCAGGTCGGTGGCTGCGGAGTTCGCCGCCGTCATAGACTCCGGCACGTCTTACACGTACCTCAGCGACCCGGAGTACACGGAGCTCGCCACCAACGTGAGTCCCTTCCCTTTCCCTCTGTGCACGCTCATCGAATGAATGTGATGGATTTCTTTTCTCAAGTTTCTCATGTGTCTGCTTCGAGTTCGTGCGTGCATGCAGTTCAACTCGCTAGTCCGCGAGAGGAGAGCCAATTTCAGCAGCATCTCTGCAGATCATTTTCCCTTTGAGTACTGCTACAGAGTCAGGTAGTAAACAACAGGATCTCCAATTTCTGCTGTTCCACTTTCTAGAAACAAAGTCTCTATTAGTGATTGTTTTGCATCTTCTTTTCAATCTCATCTGCCATGGTTGTGATCGAGCTGCAGCCCTAACTAGACAGAGGTGCTGATCCCGTACGTGAGCCTGACGGCCAAGGGCGGAGCCCTGTTCCCGGTCACCCAGCCGATCATCTTCTTCTTCCACACGGCCACCGGCCGTGCCATCAGTTACTGCCTGGCGATCGTGAAGAATGACCTCGGCATCAACCTCAACATCATCGATCTTGTGCTCATCAGGGTGCCGTCTTGGCGCTCAAACTTGGTTAGGAGTGGCACACAGGGCAAACGGTAATTTCAATCATCCTCCCTGACTGAGGGCACTTCAGTCTTTTCTCCTCGTCGTTACACACCGTTACCAGCGAAAATGGACGGAATGGCTTGGGGGACAAAGAAATAAAGTGTTATAGCACCTAGGTAAGTCTGAACTTTTTAGTAGTCTGTAGAAAAAGGCCATCTTTTTTAATGGTACACAGGGAAAAGGCTAAGGACATGGTGGAACCCATCTCAGCACCGTCCTTGTTGTCTGCTTTGGTTCAGATCCATGAATCATGAATCGCCGAATCTCCACACAGGCAACATACCCAACCTTGGTGTCTCAGCGTTTCTCATCCAAGTACAAGAAGGAGCAAACAAATGCAGTGGTAAAACCTAAGTTGGGCCTTGTTTAGATGGGTGTTAGGAATCAGTATTGGACACTGTAGCACTTTCGTTTGTATTTGACAATTATTGTTTAATCATGGTTTAACTAGGCTCAAAAGATTCGTCTCGTAATTTACGATTAAACTGTGTAATTAGTTATTTTTTTTATCTACATTTAATACTTCATATATATGTCCAAACATTTGATATGATGAAAAGAGAATGAAAAAACTTACGATCTAAACGAGGCCTTGCTACTTTCAATGAACATCTTATGCGATCGAGGCAGGCATCTGCCACAGCTAATGGTAGGCTGCTTCGAGAACCGTACCTAGAGATGCTAGTACAAGGAGCAAACAAGTGCGGAGGTAAAATCAAGTGGCAGTGACAGGAATATAGTGCTCACGTTACTTCCAATTAACCACTTCTTATGCGATCAACCGAGCCACCTGCCACAGCTGCATAAACACTGCCGTTTTCCCTATAGTTTTGGATGGTCCTAGAACCGTGCCTAGAGATGTTTTCAGGAACCCAGCTAATGGACCGTCGTCCAACAAAATCCATTTTTAGAGACAGCTGATGTTATGGGAACGCAATAAAAACATCCCTATATATGTGCATCTTACGGGATTGAAAACTTTCTAAGGCCCAGTCAGGATACTAGGGGACCAAAGTTTAGCACCGTCACATTAGATGTTTCGATGCTAATTAGAAATGTTAAATATAGGTTAATTATAAAAACTAATTACATAAATAATGATTAATTTGCGAGACGAATCTATTAAGCCTAATTAGTCCATAATTTAACAATATGATGCTACAGTAAACATATGCTAATGATGGAACATTAGTCTTAATAGATTCGTCTCTCAAATTAGTCATGACTTAGTTTTATAATTGCTTATTTTTAGTCCTCCTAATTATCATCCGAATATCTGATGTGACAAGGGCTAAACTTTAGCCTAAAGATCCAAACACCCTCTAAGTCCCTAGGCACCATTCACGTCTTCCACATAGTAGGCGGAAAATGTTTGTTACAAATTCCCCCCCTTGGAACCGAGGCGGAGCGACCTGCGCCCACCTCCCTCAACCATGCGAGCCCGGATGGCCACCGCCGCCGCCTTGGCCGACGACGGCGCAGGTGGCGGCGACGGGCAGTGGCGGCCGCCGCACTCAGCCCCTCCTCTTCTCCCTCCTCTCCTCCTTCCTATAGCCCTCTCCTTTCTTCTCCACAGCTCTACCTCCGTTCCTTGCTCTGGCACTAGATCTGTTCGGAGGATGGCTGGATCTGAGCGGGGATGGCCGAATCCACGTGCTGCCAGCCGAATCCGCCTAGTTGCGGTGGAGGTCGGCTTGGGCAACAGTGGGTCTTCCTACGGTGGCTGGCCTCCATGCCAGGAAGGTCTGTGCTGGGTCTTTGCTTATGTCGATCTACGCGGGGCTCACCGCGGTGTGGGAGCTATGTAGGCTACTACAGCCAGGGCGCCATGGCAACGACAGCACCATCGGCATGGGCTGCTGGCCCTGGGCCTAGGCCTAGGTGGCCGGATCCGGTGGGGGCACGTGCCTGGCGGACCTGTCGTCCTCGTGTGGTGGGGTCGGCACCTCTACCCTGCCCACGGTCCGCCGTCCTCATGTCACGATGGCTAGTACCACTACCCTAGTGTGGCGCACCATGACGCAGCAGGTGGGTTGTTTGAGGCTAGGGCGAAAGCCCGGACGGTGACGTCTGTGGCCACCGCTTCCTCCTTGAAGCGTCCTCTAGTTCCTCTCTCCCGACCCTAGTGTGGCGCGCTCCCACGTCAAGGTCGAGACCAGAACAGCTCAGAGTGAGGTTGTTTGAGCAAGGCATGGATGCTTGCCAGGGCGCACCTCCCACCTTTGTGGGGCGATACAGGGAATGGCTCCGCGTGGGGTGGCAGCGGGCGAAACCCACCCTCCATCCAGGCACAGGCGCTTGCCGGCGCACCTCCCACCATCGTAGGTGTTGACACTAGATATGGCGAACAGATAAATCTGCAAGCGCACGGATGTCAATGTAGCTTTCACCCAGGAGTTGGTATCGTATTTTCACGGGGAACGCGAAGTGAACTAGACTAAAAACTAAGTTTATCGAATGATAGAACAGAGGTAAAATAATAGGTAGAGAGGATATTTGTGATTTCTTTGAACTAAGACAAGACTAAGGAATACTATATCACAGTTATTTATTTCGGGGCACAGCCCGCCTAGCAACCAGGAGGGATAACTAGACAAGGTCTGCCACGAGCCCTATAATTTAATAACTAGACCTATCAAGGTGGAATACAGAGGATGGACAGGGCTGTCACCACCTGCCACCTACCACAATCTATCCGGAGGCCTAGCCGTAAACACAAGCAAGCTATAGCCTAAGCACCGCGCTTAGTCTATAGACTCACTACTCTAATCATGTACACCGCACTCCAAGTACATGATAGTGGACCCATAGATCCAAGACCACTCCATCGTGACCATCGGTGCAAACTAACTTAAGATCAACGCTGGAGAAGGCTTGGAGGACCTCTCCCACGTATCGATGACGTGGAAGGGGCAAGTGGGGCACCGGGCGGCGCCTATGTGGCACCGGTCGGCGTGGCATGTGGGCCCCTTGGCCTCTTGCCACGTCCACTTGCCTCCTATGTGTGTATTTGTCACCATTTTGGCCAAAATTCCTGTATACAAATATATTTCCATGTACAAGTGGAACTAGGTGAATTATAAAGCAAATCCTACACATGTGATGATGATTTGTCTAACTTTATCTTGCTTTTGGGTGAAATGTTGATGGTAAAAATAGTTTTAGTGGCCGTCAACAAGCTACCCCACACCGAACCTTTGCTCGTCCCGAGTAAAGGATTCGAACAAGAAAGAGGACCGAGCCAAGATTCAGGTGGATATGATGCACAATTTTCTTAGGATATGATGCAAGCATAAAAGATATTCCAAGTCAAATACTCATACCTGTGGGTTTTGAAGTGGCTAGAACATCACCTTGGGTGGTTGAGAAATGGAACAGTTTTGACTTGAAGACATAGATCACTTCTCCTTCTCAAGTGAGATTGGAGTTTTTAAAAAAAAATATTTTTCAAAACAAATAATAGCTCATGTTACTCCTCATATGGTTCTCTCAAATCACTCAGTGGTATTTGTGTATGTGTTGTGACAGAACCGTCCAATTTATACAAGATCAAGTACGGTTGTCCCCGCTAACACGTTGACACGCATATACTTTCACTTATATAAACTCGGTAGTCCACCGAGTGTCACGAAGGACCTCGGTAAATCAACATCACAACCAAGATCGCATGATTAAGCAAATACACATCACATACGTAGAGTTGCAGTGAAAATATTATTACAATACGTTCACAAATAATAGTACAAGTTTGGGTTTTAAAACCCATTAGTGAAAACAACATATCTTTCAATTGATTACATTAATATAAGTTCCAAATACATTGCTAGCATAAGTGACATTCTCAGATAAAAGCATATAGATGAGAAATAAATATAGAGTCATCGAGCCCACCGGTGGTTAGCCATCATCTTCAGCGGGCCAAGAACTTCACCTGCAACATGGTAGGATAAACCCTGAGTACTCGAATGTACTCAGCTAGACTTACCCGGTATAAACTAGAAATAAAGTGACACCAAAGAGTATGCAAGGCTTTATAGGTGGAGCTAGCTTGACAACATTTTACATAAAAAATGACTAATTTTGTTGTACAATTATTCTTTGGTCATCAAGTTAATTATAGCTATTCATCTCTAGATTAGCAACTAACTTGTGCCAAACATGTGGTATATCATTTAATAGCATACAATAGTAACCATAGCCAGTGTAGTAATTTCATGTTTATCCGAACCATCAGATTCCATAATACAATACTACGATGTTGGGGCTAGCCAAGTTTCTCACTATCCGGGAGAGACGGTGATTTGAATCAATTTCAACTAGCTGGGAATTTATTCCTAACACAAACCCAGACATACTTGTGCCAAGGTAGTCTTAGGTCACATTTGGTACAACTCAGGTCCACATTTCGCGGGTTTGCCCAGCGCCGCACAATCAGGGACGACCAGCTGCCAGGACGATCAGGACTACCCTGCCCTTGGGCTCACATCTGGCTATTCGCACATCCTTACTACCATCCAGAGTGCGCACTCTAACAGAGCGGGGCCTGCCCTGAGTTGAGCTACTCGGCTTCACGGTCGGAACGAGTTATTCGGCTAGCTAAGTGATAGGCATGCGTTCAATCTTGTCAAAAGTGCCAACAACAGTACGGTCCTTAATCAGCACAGACGGAATCACATGAGTCAACCCACACATAGACTATGCCCGGCCTCCATTTACATTACCCCATGGTTCTTTTCCACGATAGCAAATATAGCCAACCG